ATCAAAAAAAGGGAATGAAATCAGAAAATACATTAAAAAATCAAAAAAAATGAAAAAAATAATGGAAAAGAAAATGAAATAAGAATACAGAAAATAATATTTTAAAAAAATAAAAAAAAATGCTTACAAAAAAAGTAAAAAAAAAAAATGAAAGAAATATAAAAAAATGAAAAAAAAGTAATGGAAACATGAAAGGACATTTTTTGTGGATTTTCTCATATTTTTGATATAATGTATACTGCACGTTTACTCTAGGGTACATTTTATCAAATATGAGACTTTCATAATGAGAGTAATACAATGCAAAACAGTGTCTATTATGAAATGAAGCATACAGGGTGCATACTTATTGGATTGTGAGTGAGTAGGTACGACATAAAGAATGACATGTTTGGCAAGATATATTAAAAAGTTTTATCAACGGTGTCAAGACTTACCAACACATGGGCGATGTTGCTGCATCCGTCATCCATGCCAGCTCTATCTGTGGCCTGAACGTCGAAGCTGAAAACTCGTCCACCATCGTTGGCGAAACTGCCAGCCACCTGTACTTGACCAGTTACGGGGTCAATGGTGAATTTTGAGCTTTCCTTGCCATTTAGAATCTGATAGCGAATTTGGCTATTTAATTCTTTGTCAAGATCTTCTGCCTGCACCAGAAAAATATGGCTATAATATTTCAATGTATTTACAGACATATGCTTGACACAAACAAAAAATGATTATACTGCTAGCTTATGTCAGATGTTGTGCAAAAAATAGTACGCTATTAGTTAAAAATATACTGTACTTTACAGAGAGTTACTAAATGCGACTTATAAAACTTAAATTCAAGTTTATAAGTACAATACGTATGAAAGTATAATGACAATCAAGATGTTTTCTTCGCTTAATTTTTTTTAGCCATTAAGTGATATTTTAAAGAACTGTTTCTAATAACGTAAATTTAAGTTTGTACGTAAAAAATCTTATTCCTTAATGCCAAAAAATCTCTTGTTAACTTATAAAGTCAAATAAATTATTTTCAGCAATACCAGTAATTTTTCGTACCTCAATTTTAATAATATTGTATCCATAGTAAGCCGAAGTTGGGACAGTTCCTAAAAATGATCCACCGTTCGATTTGAATTTTGGTTCATTATCATTGATATCTTTTACTCTCAAGATGATTTTCGCCTCATTTGGCCTAAGTCCGTTCAGTCTCTCGTCCAGCACTGGATATAACATCACTGGCATTCCTCTAGCTATTTTCACTTCATCCACTGTCACCCTTAACTCATACTGTTCTCGTTTCTCACGATCTGGACTTATTAATAAATACAAAGATCCATTTTTTGGATCAAGACTAAAGTATTCTTTCAAATAAGAATCATCTTTTACAATACTGTAACGTATCTGTTTGTTTTTGAAAGTATTAGAGACATTAAGATCCAGTATTTTTAGTGGAACTAAGGAATTCTCATCCACCTCCACTTCATAGTATTTATGCTGAAAAGTAGGGCGTTTTGGATCTTCCAGTCCTTCATCTACATCTAATATAGTTACAAATAAAAGTGCAGTGGAAGTTAGGCTTGGTGATCCCAAATCACTTGCAGTGATCGTCAAGTTGAATGCATTCTGTAGAACATACATTGTTTAAGTAAATTTATATTAAATGTTTATCTTGCATTTATTTATGATATGCTAAGACCATATCAAACTTGTGAGGAATTTCTGTATTGTCAATTATAATATGAAGTTATTAACTAATTTTTTAAAATAATATGTCAAAAGAAGCTGTATTACATGTTTGTGGGTACAATGACTTGAAACTGAAACGTTTTTTATCGATACGTATTTGTGTATGAATGGTTAAAAATCGCTAAATTAATTCGTTTTTTTTTCGTTCGTAACAATTTTTTAGATTTGAATTCGGTAGTTACTTGAAGATTAAAATGCGAAATAGTAAAAAGTCTACTTTTTTAATGGATATGAACATACTACGGGTGAAACGTACCCAATTTACTAAAAAAAAGAGTTTTTATGTTTCATAATGGTCATCGATATTATAGTATTAAACTACAAACCTGAGTTTCGTAATCAAGATTTCCAACTGTTATTACTGCACCGTCTTTACTATTAATAGCAAAATACTGAATTTGCGCTTTAATATGCATTAAGTCAAACAAAACAACACCGTTACCATTTCCAGTAAAATCTGAATCATTTGCGTACACCTTTGAGACGGCTGTACCAATTAGACTGTTTTCAGGCAGTGAAGCATAATAAACTGGCACTAAATGTTGCTTTGTCTCTTTCTTATCAATATTTCTTGATGTGTTTGGTATTTTTCCCACACTTTGGTAGCCATAAAACGTAGGGTAGTTGTCATTTGAATCTGTTATATGCAGCTCAACATCAACACTAGAATACAATTTTTCAGTGCCATTGTCTCTAGCTGTAACTTTGAAGTTGTAGACATCACGACTTTCTCTGTCAAGAGTGCCAGTAACGTAAATTGTTCCATAGTACCTATAAATGATCAAATAAACATCATTATCTTTAATGTTTACCTGTTCAAATACCATTATCCTTTAGAACCTTTATGCATTATTTTATGGTAAATATTGTAAATATCGAAAGAAATCAGCTAATAATTATCTCTTTAGCTTCCAAAATAAATTAATAATTATAATTATCAATTTAATACAAGAAAAATTAAGCAATCTCATATATAAGAAATCTCACAATATTTCTTTATTCAAGCAGGGAGGAGAATCAAAGAAATTTTCTTATGCAACTTTATGATTAAAAACTATTATGAAAAATTTATTTTGGAGTAACTTTGTGATAATAATTATGAAGTTGAATTCTTACAATCTTTTTGAATTTTTCAAAGTACTTATGT